AGATCTTAAAATTTGAATTAGAATTAGAATTTGAATTCAAATCATATCTATCGAATCTAATTTGAATCTACCCCAATTTAAATCCGATCTGATCCATTTGCATCCCTATATTTATGTTATATATAAAACATTTAATTTTCAGAATTCCTCTCTCTCTCTCATCAAACTTAAAAAATAATTTTGATTGGATCAAAGTCTCAAATAAACCAGCCTAGGTTAGTAAGAAAATGTAAATCTAGCTAGTTAGGATAGAAGACATCTCCTGTAAATCTACCTCATTAGGGTAGAAGACATCTCCTGTAAGTCTAGCTCATTAGGGTAGCAGTCGAGACATATATTGATTACATTGCCAAACCAAAAACCAAGAGACATCCTTTTTTTTTGCTCCATGGGTTACACAGTAGTCCGGGGAGGGGGGACATCCCCAAACCCTAGTGCAGGCGGGATTTATAGAGGCGTTATCAACCAGCCAGTTGGCACCTTGCAGCAAGAGACATCCCTTGAGGCACAGGAGTGAGAGACATTCCCTCATCTTGCCAAGCTTTAAACATGTTATCACATGCATTTATTGCCTCTGTTGGCTTATCCAAATGGGACAAAAAGCGCATTTTTTGCTCTTGCAAATTGGTACTTCATTTAATGTGGTTTATATGATAGTACAAAAGGCATGTTAAAAAATGACTAGTTGGTTTGACCTAGCCCAAGTTTAGTTAATTTGAGCAAAAGAAAAAAAAATCAAATAAATTGTGCATATAAGAGAAAAGGTTAGACTGAGAGACTCAAAAACTATCTTGGATTTTGTCTTTGTCATTGGCGTGTGGCTCGTTAGGCACCGGGCAGTCGCATGAATGTACTGCAACTATGTTCACACAGGTTCACAATAGATCTAAACACAAAATCACCACAATAGATCTAAACTCAGTAACTGCTCAGCAGCAGTGTTTTATCTAACATCATTAGGCTACTAGCAGGATGCCAAAAGTAATTCACAAATGAAATGGTTGTGGACTTTCCAATCCTTTTTTTATTTTTTATTCAAAAAAGGGCAACATTTTAGGTAAAGACCGTGTTTGGATCCTCTATACTTGGGAATATGGGACATGGTTCAAAATTTTGTTACGAGTCGGTCAATATGTATTGTTTCTTCGGATTACCGGGATGGGAAACAGTTCTAAATTAATGGTACCATTTTCTTTTGTCGTGCTGAAGGTGTATCAACCCCGTATTGGCCACGTATCGGAATGTTTCAATGAGTTTTGGTTGTATATCGGTTGGTACATGACGATTTTACTATTACAGAAACACAAATAAAAATGGCCTTTGAAAGAGGGCTTCTAAACCCATTTCAGAGGTCCTCTTTCTTTCCCCAACCCTCCAGAAAGCTTCTTAACCTTCCTAGAGACTAGCAAAAATCCATCAAAACATCTACAATTGAAAAATTCAACAAGTTTTCAAGTTTGTAAAAAAAGGAGCGAAAATAGGTATGTTTTTTCAAAATCTTTTACACTTTCAGCCAATGTTTTTGGGTTTTTTTTAGTTTGGATGCTTAAAAACATCTTTATGTATGTTGATCTACTATTCTTCTGCAAAAAATCCCACTTATTTTGATGTTATATGTAGATCTTTGTGAATATTTGAAGAAATTCCAAAATAGTAAAAAATCTAGAAAAAAATGAAAATTTTAGGTTTTTTTGTGATCTACTTGCAGAAATTGATTATGTTGTAGATCTATGGATGATCTACCATGTCCATAGATCAATTGAATTTTTTTCTAAATAATTAATTTTTTTATTTTTAATTTTCAGAATAATTATATATATATATATATATATATATATATATTTCTTTAATTTTATATGATCTAACCCTATAGGCTGAGTATGCTGTAGAGATAAGGTAGATCTAACATAGTCCATAATTCCATACATCAATATATTCAAATATCATGTGAAAATTTTAATTTATTTTTTTATTTTTATTTTTAGATTATAAATATTTATTTATTTCTCTAATTTTTTGCTATGATATGAATTCTAATAATAAATATTTATAGTAAATATATGGATGATCTATTATATCCATATTCCATAAATCCATTCAATTTTTCTGTTACATATTTACTTTTTAATTTTAGTTTAATTTTTAGAATAAAACATGCAAAATAATTATTTGAATAAAAATAAATAACTATTTAGTTTTTAGAAAATTAGAATCAAACATGCAAAATAATTACTTGATCTATTATGTTCATAAACCCATTCAATTTTTCTGCTATACATTTACTTTTCTTAATTTTAATTTAATTTTTAGAATAAAATATGCAAAATAATTATTTAAATAAAAATAAATAATTATTTAGTTTTCAAAAAATTAGAATGAAACATGAAAAGTAATTACTTGATCTATTATGTCCATAAGTCCATTCAATTTTTCTATTACATATTTACTTTTCTTAATTTTAATTTAATTTTTAGAATAAAACAAGAAAAATAAATATTTGAATAAAAATAAATAATTATTTAGTTTTTAAAATAAACATGCAAAATAATTATTAATTTTAGAATATAAATAATAGATGTCCATGAGGCCATTCAAAAAATATTTGTTTAATTTTTAGAATGAAACATGCAAAATAATTATTTGAAAAAAATAAATAATAATTTAAAAATATATAGAAAAAGTGTTTGATTAAATAATTACAAATTTTACATAATTATTTGATTCAATAATTGTTAATTATTTAATTGGATTGGATAACATTTGGCAAAGTGTTTAAAACAATTAATAAGAATTTGTAACAATATTAAAATATGTTAAAAAATAAAAGGAAATGATATATTTCACATGATAATCTATAATTTGAATGTGAACATAATTATAGATAATTATTTGTAAATTTATGAATTTCTTTGTTAAATTAGATAATTTTAAATTTGTGATTAAATAAGTATATATGATGGATAATTGGTTATTTGGGTAATTAATGATTGCTATTTCTTAAATTATATAATTTATTTAATTACTTGTTAGATTTATGATTAATTGTTACTTATAGGTTCTAACATTAAATTTCTAAATTCTAATTAATTTTTGTGCATATGCTTTATGGTAGTGTAACACTTTGAATCTGTGAGATTATGACACATTGATACTTGAGAGTTGGGATTTAGAATTTGATCATTTAACCCTTCGACATGGTACCCAAAAAAAGGAAGAAGAAGATATTGGTTGAAAATATGACCCCAAAATATATGGAAATCGATTCCATACAGAATGCAACTATTGTGGGCAAATTGATTCCATTTATGCAACTAAACTTGCACTGACACTCAATTTATTATAGGGTAGGATCTGGTTTTAAATTCTTGGAACTGACCCCACCAAGCTGGTTCCAAGGTCTAAGGGTTTACCCTATCTAAACCAACCCGATGAACTAGCCTTGGTTGGTCATAGTGGAACCAACCTTGGTATTTTGTCAAAATTCTAATGGGCCCGACCTGAAGCCCAAACCCGGGATAGTGTAAAGTTGGGCCTAAAGCCCGGCCCGTGAACAGGTCTAGTTACAAAGGCCATAGTTTCACTTGACCATTGATCTACTTAAGTGATTTAATCATTTTTTTCCATTTTAATATTGGAATGTGTATAGTAAGTAATGCAAAAGTTAATATTTACAAAATTTAAACTATAGTGGTATAGTTTTGAATCATGTATTAATGTATTATGATAATCTACATATTAAATTACTCAATTTTATCAATAAAGATAATATAAGTTTTAAACTATATATTATATTTATTGAAAATCATGTTTTTAAAAAACATGTTTCATTTTTTTTAAAAGAAAAAACAGGTTCCATTGGTAGACCTTAAAATCAACCCTGTAACTGCCAAGGACAAAACCGACCTTTACAGGATAGGTTCTGATTCCAAAAACCTAGGCTCAACCCCTACAACGTAGGTTCCAGATTCTGCCATTAAACCAAACCAAACTGGCCCATGGTCACCCCTAGTGCTACTAATTAACCCACTCCATGGTGGAAGCAAAACAATTGACAGTAGTTTCTAAAATTGCTGAAATCAGTTTTATGGTCAAACCTCCATGTTCTTAATGATCTAAAACAGTATTTCCTAAACACTTGACAGTATAATATAAAGGGCAGTAGGGGTGGGGTTGGTTCCAGAAATTTGGAACCGTATCCTACCCTATCAAGATTGGTTCTAGGGTTGGTTAGCCTTGGTGGTTCCAAGATTGGAATTTGTTCTCTAAAAACTTTATTTTCAATAATAATAATAATAATAAATTGAGTAATTTATAGTTCAAACCTTATCATTATGATTTAAATTTTTTAAATACTACTCTTTACATATTAGACAATATTTTGTGAAGCAAATTCGATTCCAAGACCTGCTTCACCAAGGCCAACCAGGACCAGTTCTCTGGGTCAGTTTGGGTAGAGTAAACCCCCAGACCCTAGAACCGGTCTGAATGGGGTTGGCTCAAAGAGTTTGGAAGGAGATCCTACCTGGTAATAAATTGGGTTTGGTCTGTTCAAGGTTGGTTCCATTAGCCTTCAAGTACAATGTACCCATTTGCTCACCCTTCTATGTGGCATTACTAAAAAAGAAAAATGCCATTTTCATCCTTTATTATGAAATGCACCAAACTGATGTCATCTGTAATGGTAAAATATCCAGCTGGCAAGTGTGACAACACAGTTGTGCAAAAAAATGCCAAAGGTCAGGTTCGTATCCAGTCCAACCCTTCCAAAACTGACCTTTATATTATACTTAATAATTAATACCATCAGGCTGTGTTTGAAAAAAAAAGGAATTCAAATCCGCATAACCTATCGCTTTAACGTCCTGAAATTTCCAGATATAATAGACACAAATAAAGGATTCTGGACCAATTCCAATTCCTTCAGTTAGATTAAGGTTTATCTTGTCTGTATAGGATTGGAATCAAGAAACAATGATTAAAAGATGAATCGAAGCTGTAAATTTCAGAACTAAAATGGACTATTGTTACTTAACAGCTACCTCATTTTATTGGTTCCAAAGTATATATTCAGTTATCAGTTAACACAGTTGTGCAACCTAGAGATCTTACCTGTTTCATGCTAAGCTAAAGTTCACAATAGATTAATGTAATGATTCATTCCAGAAAAACTTGAATCCTGTCACCTACTGAGTCATTAAAATCCAACAACTTTCCTCCGGTTTCTCCAACTGCATCATCTAATAACGCCTTGATATTTACACCGCCCAAAGCTGTTTAACATAGAAAGGTTACTTTTTCCCTCAATTCCTGAAGTTCGAAAAATCAATCACTTGCATTCATTTTACAGTTAAAAAGTAGTACCTGGAACAATATTGGTGATTCCATCCAAGAACCCAGCCTGTAAAAGCAAAATTATGCCTTTTCCATAACATGGTTTTTATATTACAAAGTTGCACTTAAACATGAGAATGCAGAGCATATGATTTCATACAAGGCTGCAGAAGCATTCTAATTATTATATATGCAATACGAAGGCCAACAGGTGCTGAATCCAAGTCTCATAATTTCTGGATGTGCACATGTACATGTGACATTGATGCATCTTACAAAATACTAATATATGTATCTGAGAGTGAATTGCATTTACATTCATTTATTTATGTAGTTAACTAGCTTTGCATGAATCTAGTATGAATCTTTTTATCATTAAGGATGTTTTGTGAGCGAAACAAATTAATATAGGGATTTTGGCATTTCTACCCCCATGTTTTAGATATTTTGTATATTTCCTCATATATTTTTGGACAAAACTGCCCTTAAATCACCTGAAGTTGACAAGAAAAAAGATATTTTTTTCTTTTTGTTTTAATTTAAGAATCTTCTAATTTATGGTTGTCCAATTTAAACCCAAAATGTTCCTCTCTTATAAAAGTAAAAAAATGAACTACGTGAGTGGACCCTGGTAGACTATAAATCCACGTTTTTTTCCAATAATGGACATGGGATACTTTATCCCTTGCRTGAGCAAGGGTTTTCCTCTTTTGACTCTTAATTGCACAATCAAGCCAATAAAGAAAATAGATACGAGTAATTGTATTTCCGGATTTAAGTGATATGGAGTAAGAGTTCTTTCAGTTTGATGTAAGCTGAAGGCCTGTTCAAAAAGTGTGATTAAGGATCCAATTCAACAGCTGTAAAAATGCTGTTTACTGTCCTTTCAGGCTAATTTAATAAATCAAGGGGTGGAAAAGCCTGATGGAGGCGATGAGAATAACATCAAGGAGAAGGAAGAGGATGTGGAGAGGGAGGGTATTATGGTTAGGGACAGAAATGTTAAGGGGGAGGTGGAAGAAGCCGTTGGAACCTTAAATACAACTAGAAGATTCAAAACTCAGAAGAGCAAGAGAGGCCAACAACAAATACCAGTTTCAAAGGTTTTTTTTTTAAGGATAAAAGGAGGAATGTTTGGCCTTGGACCTAACAAGAAAGTAAGGAAATCCAGAAGTGCAGCCAGAAGACAACAGGAAGATGGCAATCAAAAAATTAACAATTTAGATTTGCTGATCTGGCATTCTTTGGGGCTTGTTATGGGTATCGGGTGGGGGTGGTTTTTGTTTTGTTTTGGATACGATTTGTGCTTGTTTGTTGTTATGTGTTGTTTCTTTCAGCATTGTATGGGGTTTGATTTTGTGTGTCTGGTTTTGATGGGATGGTTTGGCGTATCTGGGTGTCTTAAGCTTTAGCCGGAAGTCTATGGGTGTTTTTATCTTTTTCATTTGGGTGATTGCTTATCACCTTTTCTTGTATCCTTTTTCTATTTTAATTTAATTTAGTTGTCTTCAAAAAAATAACGGATCAGTGCTGAATCTTTTTTTTTTTTTTTGATAATTGTAAGTTTTGTCCTTGTACATATGAATGTGTTGAATCTTGGTGAAGACCCATTGTAACTATAAACTCTCTAAAGTGTCTCCCACTGGAGTTCTAACATTAGTTGTTACCCCTTCACCCCTTCATACATATCCTTAATTAGGTCTACATACCTACTTTGCACCCATTTCTTTTCTAAGACCTACCATCCATATTAACACTATAGGAACTTTATCATATGCCTTTTCTAGATCAATGAACACCATATGAAGACCCTTCTTCTTCTCTCTGAACTATTCTATCAATCATCTCAAAAGAAATATAGCTTCCATGGTTGATTTCATAAAGCCAAAATGATTCTCTTTTACATTTGTTTCAAGTGATAATCTTCCTTCAATTATCCTCTTCCAAAGTTTCATAGTGTGGCTCATGAGTTTAATCCTCCTACAGTTATTACAACTTTGTACATCACCTTTTTCCTTGAATATAGGCACCATACTGTTGTCTCTCCAATCATAAAATCTTCTTTTCTTTCACTATCTTATTAAATAGCTTAGTTAGCCATAACAAGCCTACTTCTCCCATACCTTTCTACACTTCTATTGGAATCCCATCAAGTCCTAACACCTTTCCCTTCTTTATCTTATTTAGTGCCTCTTTTACTTCAATAAGTATAACTCTACAAAGGTACGTATTATTTTTAACACTACCAATATTGCTATATTCTCCTCTATTAACACCCTTTCCTTATTGTTCATCTAATAATTTTTCCATCTTTATTTGATTTCCTCATCATTTACCAAGACTTTTTGATCTTTATCTTTAATGCAACTAATGGGGCATGGATGTTTAGACAGCAGATGAGGGAGATTTATTGCTTAGCAAGGAAAGCTGGAGTAATCTTTATTTGGACAAGAAGGTCAGCCAATAGTGTGGCCGATACTTTGGCAAAGCAAGGGACTTAAAGGGAAGTTTTTTTTTAGGCTGTACTATAAATCTTGGGATAAAATATGGTCAACACTCATGTTGAGAGTGTTTGGAATTGCATGTTTCCTTTACTAAGGCTACCTTTGGCATTCCTTATTTTAAGGACTTGTCTCCTTTTTGTAGCTAAAAACTCATTGTTCATGGGGCGTTTTTACTGCAAAAAGGAGATAAGTCCTTAAAATAAAGAATGCCAAATGCAGCATAAATCAATGAAAGTTACCGTTTCCAATAAAAAAAACCTATAATGCAACTAACATGGTTTAAATTTCTACCTTTTCATTCTCTCAGCTTTGCTAGTGTAAAGAGACTGGGCCGAATGGGCCCTAACAGCCTTTCGTGTGATATCCTTTATTTTATGTTGATGGGCCTCACTTAGTGGGCCTGTTATTTGTTCTTATTTTATTTTCTTTATGTAACTGCCAAGCTGGCCGCCCACTTAAGGGTATACTTGTCATCATCAATTTTTAGAGATTAATAAAATAGGGTTAGAGGAGAAGGGTGATTAATTTCGACTTCTTCTTCTCTTACCACTTCTCTTCGCCATCTTCCTCTCTTATACAGTTATTCAG